GCAACCGGAACCAAGTCTCCTGAGGCCTTAATGCACCTGCATTCATCAGCCTACTGGTTCCATGGATTTACTCGGTTTATCCATGAATCAGCTTCCTAAGTTACGTGTGCCGGAAGAACGCTACAAAGTAATGGTCATTATCACCCTCGGCCCTCCCTGTCCATCACTTCAGCCATATCCTCATTTATGGGTCAAGTTGCGCTACTGATGTTCGAATAGTTGATAGAGTTCTCAACTACCTGAGGGAGCGTTTTGTTTTAGGTCAGGCTTTAAGAGCTACAGCATGCGTTGGGCTGTGAATCGTTGAGTAGAATCTCTATGGCCTCGTATTCAGCCCATCTGCTCCTATTTTTAAGCTCCCAACACTGGTGCAGCCTTCGCTTGAAGTGGTATAAAAGCGTAGGTGATCACAAGCCAACTTCGACTTTACAAGCGCTCAATCAAAAGGATAAAAGTCCGTCAGGTCGACCAACCCCTTTCTTCATCTGTTGCACTGTTTTTGTTGCCAGTTGCCTGCACATCCGTGACCCAATCTCAAGTGAGCCACGTGACTAAATTCAAGGTTATATATATATATATATTATTTTTTTTCCTGACCTGCTGCTGCCTAACTCTGCCGTGGAGTTTGGCTACACTTTCCTTATAGAAAAGTGCGAGGACAATTTCCGCCGGAGTCGGTTCACTGTCTCGTGGTGGTGCATTTCCAACTGCCATTAGGGAGTATACATTGGCGAAGACTTTATATGACTGTGCGAGTCATTCTCCATTTCAACTACGGACGCCTTGACAGTAATCTCGTCTAACCACAAACCGTGAATTGTGCACTGCAAATAAGTTCATGCTGTATCAGCCGTCACGCAGTAGCACTATGAAAAGGGTTGCCCGATCTGCTGCATTTAACGGGGTGGACAGTCGGAAGCATACAACCACCGACGCCCCTTCCCCTTCCTCGCCACATTTGTCTCTCCCAGTCCCAATTTCAACCTAACCATTACATCCACCACCCCATGAACACCCGACCAATTTGCTCCGTGCAACTGCTTGCTTCTGCGGATGTTGCAATATACAAACGTCACTGGACGGGAGCACGAATCTGTGCTCTGAGCGATGCACTGCAATGGCTACGATATAACTCGCGCAATGGCATTGACAACGCTACACTCACTGAGACTCAGCGGGTTGACCAAAGTAAGTTGCACGATCATGGTGCTGTCTACTCATTCTATTGAGTGGGAAACGACACCAGAGCGCTAGGTGAACAAGGGTGGGTTTTGTATTATCCGATCTCCTAAGTGCTCACTTGGTGAGAGAGCCGATCGGCGTCAGCCCACGATTGAAGGCTGCACGCTTGTGACCTTTAAAAGGTAAGGTTGGCAGTTTTATTATCCCTTATGGTTCCACCACGTGTTATCCTGATGACAAACGGGCGCAATTTCACGCCCAGCTGTCCTCCGGGATACAGTCTGTGCCAAGGAGCGGTTGGCTATTCCTGTTGGTTGAATTCAACCTTCGTGCTGCGCGTGATGCCACGGTGTGGACAAACGTAATCGGGCAGTGCATTATTGGCCCAGTCATTGGAAAGGTTGACCGGCCTGATGAGCGCGAACTTCGTTCACACTGCGTGTCGGTGTTAGTGCTACTTGTACACACCCAAGGAGTGGGCAAGCCCATCTGCGTCGCTATGCCATCGTACGTCAACGTGACATGCTTGAAGTGTTTATAACACGTGCATTGCGTGGCCATGAGTGTGGCATTTCTCACAAATTGGTTGGGACTATACTGAGCGTATATATTCGCAAATTTATGTATTGCTCACCTGTCGTGAACCGGCGCAAAGTTAGTCTTTTTCCCTGGGTACTATCGAGAAGAGGATGGAACTGGAGAATGCAGTAGCCACCCGGTTGGGCGAAGTCAACTCCATCGCTTCAGTCCACGACCTATAGCATCATTTCAAAGAATTGGTGACCGCTGCGGCTAAGAAAACGATCTAGCGAAACAGCTGTGGACTATCCACTTGATTTTATAGCAACCCTACGACCATTGGCGCCTTGGTGTTAGAGAAGAATGAAGCTTCTGATGCGCTTGAGTACCCTGCCGAACTATAGAAAAATAATGTTTTGCGACATGAATCAGCGACTGACTCGGGAGCTTCGTCACATTGATAATGCGTGAGGGATGGAGCAGGCCAAGCAGGTAAAATACTATGCCAACTCCCCAAACATAACGACATCTTGAAGGCAGTGTAGTACCCGTCTTGCAGCCAATGAGGACGCCAGTGAACCCTACTTCGTATGCTCATTTCAGACATAATGAAGATCTGGAGAAGACACTTCGAATCTCCTGAACTACCTTTAAGTGACTGACTGGACTACATCACACTGGTTGGAACAACAAATTCTGAAAGAGCATTTTGCCGACACCCTAGTATTGAACGAAACTGATAGCACTTGCTTCGTTGCGGCATGGCAATTGCGCCGTTGTTGACGGGTACTGCCTGATGTGTTGGGAAATATCGGAGCTGCCATGCTCCGCACAGGGGCAAAGGAAAAAAGCATTATGCCAACAATCGTCGTGGTAACAAATTTCTGTTGTGTCGGGAATCTGACGGCTGGAATTCTGCTCAGCCTGCTCGTCACTCAGGTCCATGAACCAAACGCATTTGGGGAGTGATGCGGATTCCATTTTGGTCGCAGCACGGTTGATAGGTTGTTCGTGGCTCGTCAGTTGAAGGGGAAATGCCGTAAGTGACACGAGCCGTTATACTCGCTGCTCAATGATCTCACCAACAGGTTTGACAAGGTGAGCCGCAAGGCAGTTAGTTTTGAATAAATAAATACATAATTTTTTCATTATTGACAAAGCGAGGCACGCCAAAGTAGGATTTCTAGTCTTATTGAGTCTACACAGTGACATGCCGGTGAGGGTGCAGCTGTGTGGATAAATCTTGAACAACTACTGTTGTATCTGGTGTGCAGCAAGACTGTACCATCGCTCCTACCTTTTTATTTGGCTAGCTGCTAGTATGTTTAATAGTTTCCATCCTTGGTGATATGGTGTTCTCAAGTAGTGTGTCCATGGTGGGTTACTGAACATAAATCGTTTTGGAGTAAAAACCCAGTTGCGTGAGACATCCATCTGGATGCCGTTGTTCGCTGACGACTTCCTTTTGTCTGCACACAACGAGGGTGAGTTGCGGCATAAGACGATGGCTTTCGTTTCAGCAGCGGCCAAGTTCAGACTCACCAACAACACAAACAAAAGTTTCTTTTAAATCGTCATCAGAAATGAAATCCTTGGGCTGCCCCCAAGTCAAGCTTGCTGATATAGTTTTAGAGACCTCAATGAAATGTTACTATCTCTGAAGCCTACCGTCGAGTTACCTACAGATGACCAGCGAGCTGAGCATCGGCGGATCGAGAGTGCGTGGTGCATTTGGCAACCTGGAAAATCGGGTCTGGAAAAATCTTCTAACCACTGAGATCAAGCTGAAGGTGTACTGTCAGTTCTTCCATGCGGTAGCGAAACATGGACGCTGTATATAAAGAACCCCTGAAACCTGGAATGAGTTCACCAGCAATAACTGCGTCAAATTCCGCGCGTTGGCTGGTGTTACAGTTACTGACACGGACGTGCTCCGCCGAATTGGCTTGTATAAGATGAACTGCATACTTCTGCTGGGACACATGAGGTGGCTAAGACATATCTGTCGTATAGATTCGACTAGAATACCGAAACATCTGTTATGTGGTTAAATTAATGTAGGGAAAAGGAATGTGAGCAAACTGAAGCTGCAATAACATGAAATGATCAACATGAGTTTTTCATGAGCTAATGCTTACTTTAGGTGTTACGTATCAATGGCAGAGGATAGAGGCCAATAAAATAACCACATCAAGAAACCGACCGGCAGGTGCAGCAGAAAATACTTATGTAACTAGAAGAAAGTCACCGTTTATTCAAAGGACAGGTACTGATAGATCCCATCCCATAGGCGTCATGAACATGCTGTCGCGTGTGCTTCAGCCGAGCAGGTCTAATCGTTTATCAACGAGACTTCAAGGGGTCAGTAACGACGACGCAACAAGTAAGTTAATTGGTTACGTGTCAGTGATTGATAAGGAGACTGCATGCGGTTTCATTTGCTAACCCAGGTCAATAATGTCTTTGATGTGGCAGGTGGCTACATAAACGATGCAGTTGGTCTATACGTGTAGTCGCGTAGTTATTACCTGGTATTTTACTTGCTTGCTGCTTGCTATCCATGGTCCGACTGTGCTTGATGTAAATGTTGGCAAGTTTCCTACCTGTTGAAAACCTCCAAGTCGATTGCTATCTCCAAGAGACTGTTGATCGTTGCTAGGGAAAACGGGGTGCACAGTCTTCGCGACGGCGCTAGGCTCAAAGTGTGGTTTCATACACTGGAGAACAGGCTACGGCCAAGCCACTGCCCTTTGTAGGTCTAGTAAGCATGTTTTCCCCTGCTCAAATTTATAATGCTCATGTTGAAATATGGTGTGTCAGCTCCGAATCACTCGTGACTCCCATCTATGAGCCTGCCATGCTTAATCCTTCGAATTTATACTGGATATGTGGTGTGTGATTAGAGCTATAGTTGGTGCAACGCAAGTCACTAATATTCCCCCAATATACATACATATATATATATATATATATATATATATTTATCACGTGCGCTCACCTAGACGATGAGTATATTTAATCGGGCGCACATAACTTAGGCGTACCACATGATTGCATCAATTTCTCGGCCACTCACCCGGACTCAATTATCTGAAATATAATTTTGATCAATGGTGAGAAAACCGAGCCACCCGCTGGTGAGTCCAAGTCTGGTGTCACCTCTATGCAAACTAACGGAATGCCGTAGTGCAAACTATCCATGGGCTAGTTAATCAGTGAAATGCATTTGCTTACAGTTGAACGCAGAAGCACCATGGAGAAATGAGCATAAATAGCACCGTGCTTCATTTGGTACTTACTGCCACCAGCTGCTGCGCCTCGAACTAGGTAACCAATGAAACGCCCGGCTTTTCCAAGCTTACCTCGTTCCGAGGCACTGAGTTTCGGGGGTGTGGTCCCAATCTGCTGCTGCGGAAACAGAATGAAAATTTAAAAGTGGATCAGCAAATTACCTGAGCCGCAAAGAACAGGGACGTAAATTGGTATCATTAATATGAATATATGAAGTTGGGTTACAAGAAACGGTAGTCGCCAATAATTATTAGTAGTCAGTAGTACGAGTATAAAGTGGAGTTAAAATTATTCGAAACGGCTCCGGTCAACCTACTCCGTCGAACTGCTGCGTTTAAGGTATAGCAGTGGTGGAACTAAGCTAAAGGCTTTCACCTGTGATTAGCAGTTGCTTGTTTGAGCATTTTGAATTGCTAACAGTTTTTTAGTGTTCATAATATTAAGGTGATTTTACGGCAATTATATATCACTGATTCCGATTTTTGCATCGGATTTGATAGGTTTACATTATTTGTTGGCGTACGCTAACCCAAAAAAGCGTAACATTATAGAAAACATGAGAATGTTTAGTCTACGAATAATAGAGCAACTGCCTCTTTTACCACAAATGCAGGGACGGTAAATATATAACCTTCTTTATGCACGAGAACTGTTGGACTAATCTATTCAGCTGCTATGAATCACAACATTAATCTCTGAAAATGAAACTGTTTGTACGATTTCCTTCTACGTCGTTCACCTGGAAAGCCACCTAGGATGCTTTATCAGTAGTCCGCCATGTGTCTGTCACCTGCCTTGATACCCCTTTTCTATCACCTAAATTTGCTGACCGAACCTTTCATTGTGTTCCTCGCTGGAGTCACCAAGATTATTTGGGGATCTACTTAAGTGGCTGTTGCAAACCAATGTCGCAAATTTCGCAGGCATATTCCTCACTAATTCTTCATAGTCAATACTTTTATGGTTGCCGAGGAAGTTCTGAAAAGCAGAGATAAGATTATACCAAGCAGAAGCTTCAACGTTGCTCACAAACGTTTTGAAATTGCTATCACTAATCAGATTTCAAGGTTGAGGACCATCGAAGAAACCAGATTTCAGTTTCCCCGTACTCAATGCAGGGAGTGAGCTACAAATGTATTAGAAACAGCAACCGTTTTGTCCAGTGCTGTAACAAGTTTGTTCCAAGTGGTGGGAGAATACTATTTTCTCTGTCAACCAAAAGCTTTTTTATGTTGTTCCTTGCGCCTACCTTCATGCTTTCTTTGGCAGATAAAGTCAAATTACTCTAATGGTGTTGGTTAGCCCTACTGTCGCACAAGCACATGGACAAAGGATATATCGCGCAGCCACTCTGCTGTCCAATTAATAAATACACAATATTTAAATTCACGTAGATAATGCAGTTATGACCGTTATTGTCGTGTAACACCTTCCACGGATCAAAAACGGAGATTGGGCTGCCATCAGAATATATTTGTTCTGAAGACAACATATGATTTATAGGGCGCCCCAGGCTCCTTTGAGAGATGCCAATTTGATCTTCCTTAATTGACTGCCGCTGACAAATTCAATGCGTAGGTGCATTGCTGCTCGACTGTCAGTAGATAATTGGTGATGAACGGCCTCTTGCTTGTTTGTTACAAATGGGTAAGTGAATATCAAAGGCTACCGTTACCATGATCATATCACATTTGTGGCATAATTTTACCAATACCCTTTAATATCCTCATATATTACTATAATTTTACCTGAGTGAGCAACTGGTCCAGATTGTTGATGGTTTATGTTGTACAGTAACAGACCGGTAAAACTTGTGCTACAGCTTTTCTATAAGAAATAACCTATCGGTTGATATATTAGTAGCCTCATTACCAGATGTCCAGAAATATGATGGCAGCAGACGTTCGCATCAATGAAGTATAGCAGAATTCCCCCTTCCATTTTGCGATAAGCTGTTATTTTAGTTTGGGTTGCCAGCGATTCTTTTCTTTGAGCCTAGATGCATAAAGCTCAGATGATTGTTTTGAGAAACCGAGGTCTTGTATGAGATTGTTTAATTCTTCTTTTGAGCAAAGCTGTTGTGTTTAGGAACTTCTTCATAGTTACTATACCTATTATCACCTGCAATACTTAGAGGATCGTCGTCAAACAGTTCTTAAGTATCGGAAAAGGAGAGGATAAACAACGTAGCAAACAATGGCGTGGGAACTACTGTGCTGTGGGACACACGTGGCCAGTTGATTGCGTATGAGGTCATTTACATTTACGTTTCTTGATTGAAGCATTTCACAGACGCAGCACATAAATAATCGTCTTGTCGGTTCTTTCCACATCAAAGGCACACCAGAGCTCGCAATCAAAAACAGGGAAATTATGGCTAAATTCATAAATATTAATTAATAATTAAAATAAGCAATATTAATATTAGGTAGAAGCATAGAAGCATATCAAGATCTGGTAACACACCCTGTTGTTCAGAAACTAGAGCCATTTCGTACTGTCCGCTTTCATTTAGGAAATAAATGCTACTGGAATACTATGAATTCGTTGAAATATCCTCGGCACCAATAAAACAATTTTTGTTGATCAGTGTAGTGCCCATTCCTTACCTAGTCTTCAGTTACGGAATCCTATGACACTGGGAATTTGAGGGAGAGGAAACTTAGAGCAGTTGGAAAACCAACCATAGTACTTGCTTCTCGAGATATAGCTGGGGAGGTGTGCGCTAGACTTATGAGGAACAATCTGTTCATCACCGGAACAGATAAACCCCTAGGTGCCAAGTTCAATGGATTCGCAGGTACACTGGTACCTAGTATGACAGTCACTACCTATTGAACAGACCACCCAGCTCGGGAACAATCTAACATTCTATTGTGAATAGCAGGTTGGTTAGGGGCACGGTGGTTAGCACTCCAATCGAAGGTAAACTGCAAGATAGAAAAAGCGTACACCATTCTGGCTTGCTTCGCTTATCGGTAAATAGTTGTTGCAACTTTTATACCACCCCCACAGTGAGGCTGTCGGTGTACACATAGTACGTATATTTCGCATAATTTCATGTTGCATAAGTTAGTTTCAACTTGGCGATGGTCTTTGTGCTGTTCATACAGTCCCAAGAAAAGCGAGCATCATCCCCACTTGAAGAAAACAGCAGCCGTTCGGATTAGCTGGTCTCTAATTACCTCGTACTTCGGACTCCTTTTCGACTGCCTGGCAAAGTTCTTGTTATCTTAAATGGGACTACCGGTGTCCAGTAGTGTATATCTCGATGGGCTTTTAATTCAGCCAGCTGTACAGACTCCTTATTGGCCAGCTAATTTGCCGCTAATTATGGTAATTGTTTTTCCGCAACAGTGATTGTGCGCAAATAGGCACAAATTCCCACCAATCTGTGAGCATTAGGATTGTCGGTATCTAGGGTCATAACAACAGCGAATTTAGACTCGTCCACACGTGCATGTAGTGCAAAGTAGTCGTCACCTCATTTTGAAGGGACGAACATGACGACTGGATAACAGTGATATTTGAGTGATTTATGCGGCATTCGCTTTTTTGTCATCTAATTAGCCAGTGTATAACTATCTACCTTATCCTGCATCAACTTCGCCTCCAAACGTGGATAGTATGAACTACTCGTTGTCGTGTTCCATAATAACGGTTGAGCTCCATACTGTTGCAACACAGGCCAGTTAATTACCGGTTTTATGCTCTGGACCACTCCTCCGAAATTAGTACATATATGTACTGGTTATCTGTTGTTGGGCAGTACTGCCGTTTTAGCTCTCTTGTAAGAAAAACCCATTCAGTGTCGATCACAAGGCCTGGATAGGGACATTGATCACTTGGTTAGGTAGTCTCGGAGACCACTCTTTACCCCAAACTGATGATTGGAGAGTGGGTGTATTAGAATCAGAATCAAAGTGTAGTTTCTTATAAGTTTGGAAGAACCTTAGTATGTAAGCACCAAACCCATACAAAGGTCGGTAGTGCTGTCCTAAAATCAAGAATTTATCAGCTGGTTGTGACGCTTAGTTATCGCGGAAACTTGTCCTGATGCTTCTCAATCCTGTTGGTATGCATTCCATTGTGGTATCTAGTTTTCCTCTTGCCATATCCAAATGTGTTCAGTGCCGGTCCTTGTTTGAGATCAATTGATATACGTCTACTGACTACCTGGTAACAAGGAGTTCATTCTCGCGAATGCTAAAAATAGGGAAATAATTAACCACTTCGAAGAACTCGCTGGATGCATATCCATCCTCTTGGATTGCCGATAACGCCGGCTGGGCATTGGGTGCAAACGAGATTCGGTTGGTGGGACTTAAGTTCTAATTTGACCGACAAAACAACGACGCTGCCCGCGCTTCCGCTCAAAACACCTGAATCTGAGTCTTGAAAGCACATAAGTATCTTCATGACTAATCTCTCAACGTCTTTTTTCTCTGTAAATACTTATTTACAAGGTATTTACTCCAATGAGCAACAGTACAATTATTTGGCAAATAATTCTGTTATGAAAGCAGAGAGCAGGACCATGGTAAGGCCAGAAGCAAGTGTTTTACGAAATAAAATAACACCTCTTTTGTTGGGGAAGAAGGCAAAATGGTCAAAGGTAAGACGAACGGTTCTCTTTCATTTTTCTGTATTGCTATGTAGGTTTGTAATTATGAACCACAGCAACCTTCCTATTTGTCCAACTGCGTTGGTCAATACCTCCATGAACTGAGTTTTATCCGTACTAAAGTACAGTGTAACATTGACCATAGCTTGGATACACTGGCAAAGTCGTAGGTGTCCCCACACTTCTGACAGTGTCAAGGCCGACATTTTCAAGGTAGCTATATCCATTTTGTTGAAGCCAAGATGATATCAAATTCATAATATACAGTTAATTGGGAAATTTCGTATCTAGTGGGAGGCACACCAAGTAGTTGATTGTTTGAACCCCTATTTTTTAGCATCGAAGGAGTTTCCCCTTCTAGTTGAAGCCAAAGTTCAAAGCTGCCGATGAAAAAGCATGTGTGCATGCGGCTGGTAGCATTTATAAAGCTGAGTCTGTCATTCAATCAGTGGAATAGGTTACTTCGCTCCACCTGAGGTTCGGTTTCTCGTGG